ATTTTATGTTTAAAGTTATGTTAAAAAAAAAATAGTGAAACTAGTCAATAAATGTCGCGATTCTCTTACAAATAATTTAGCAATTAAAAATACTCATAATTTAACTTGTTTTAGCTTTAAATTGTATGACAATGTTGACATTGTCACGTCAACACAATACCAATGTTAACAATGAAGATTGACAAAATTAACTAAACGATGCAACAAAATATGAATTAACAATTTAGAAAAAATACAAAAGTTAAACATATTTAAGAAAACAATACAGGATGTCCGAGAGTAACAATACAATAAAAACATGAATTATACATGTCAATCACTGAAAAAAAAAATCACATTATAAAACTATCACCCTTATAATAATTGTTTAGGCTTTGTATAAATCATTGACTGACATTATATACTGATGGACCACGGCATTTGTGTTTTGTGAGGTAGTTTTTCTGAGTAAATGACTTAGAGCATATATAACATTCAAAAGGCTTTTCCCCAGTGTGCAAACGTTTGTGAATTACGAGGGTGGATTTTCGAGTAAATGACTTAGAGCACTCATAAAATTTGTAGGGCTTTTCACCGGTGTGAACTCTTTCGTGTATTGTCAGGTATCTTTTAACAGGAAATGACTTTGAGCAGATATTACATTCATAGGGCATTTTCCCAGTGTGTACACGTTTGTGTTGTGTGAGGTTAGAACTAGTAGAAAAATGCTTAAGGCAGGCGTCACATTTATAGGGTCGGCTGATGTTCACGTATGTCTTAGTAAACTCATTACAATGTACAGTGTTCAGTTTTCGGGGACAGTGTTTATCCGTTGAACTTTGGTGGGATTTTAATATACGTAGAGTTATTTGTTTTTTTGTGTAGTACATTTTTTGACATAAATGACATTGGAAAAACCGCCGGTCTGTTGTATCTTCATTGTTAGAGTTTGTTGCTGTTTGTTTATTGTTTTCTGTTTCAATCCTCGATTCGAAATAACAACCATCAGTTTTTTTATGCACTTCATTTCTCGTTCGATTGTCACTACAACAAAACATTGTCGAACAATAAATTATAACGTTTTAAAAAAATACATGTTTTCTACAATTGAATATTACTATTGTTAATGCTAATTTGACCTAAGTAAATGTAATGAATGTACAAAAATTACAGATTACTAAATTTGAATTGTCTGCAGAATGCATGTTGATATAACATTTATGTACGTTTAATGGAAAAATCGGTTTCTAAAAAAACTCTTTAATCATCATATGTATAAAGCTTTTATTGTATTTTCGTTTAATGACAAAACAATTGAAGTTTAATATTATTAAATTGAACAATTAGCCTCACCTAAAAGTATTCTTGTAGTTTGTTATTTGAGAATTCAAAAGACCACTGCTGGTTTTTACTTCGACTTTTACTTTTGTTTCCATGCAAGTTTCTCCGACTCTAAAAACAAACAAAAAAATATTTATTAAAACTAAAAATGTAATAAAAATAACAGGAATGCCGCCTATCAGCAATGAGTGCTAACATAGATTTATGGTCTAACTTCTACCAGTGAACAAAAATTATTATTTACAAAATAATCGGTATGAGCAATTTACAGAAATAGTACAGGTGTTATATATATTAACTGCAGAAATAAGAATGCAAGACCAATCGGTAGCAGCAAAATTAAGGAAAGACACTAGATAAGGGTCACACCAATGTTGTTTAATGTACATGTCGAACAGCCAATCCAAGAATTAAGATAAAGCTCAATAGTCAGGAAATAGGAGTGACGGTCGGAGGAGAACTTGTACAAATAGAAGGCAAGAGAGGCAGAAGATAAACAAGAAAATTATTAAAGATGCCGAACTACAGAAGAACCTACAGAAAACTGGACAGACTGGCCAATTATAGAGAACAGCGAAGGAAGTATGAAAAAATGATATAAACCAAACCTTTGTTGAATACTAAAGACAAAGAATAACTTGTATGCATTTCCGTCGATTTTTTTATTGCTTCTTCAATTGCTTATAATTTTCTTCTATTTCAAATACAGACTTCAAAATTGAAGTAGGTGAGACCGATGATTATTACTACAAATTTCAAATATAGACTTGTAGTAATAGTCGTCAGCCTCACCTACTTAAAATTTAATTCTTGACTCGTTTTCGGTTTCATTAAGTCTAATACACAAATTACATTTTAAAAAACAAGGTTTTCAATTTTATACATTTTTTTAGAAAGATATTAATTGTCAATACCAAAAAACAATAGATTATTTTATTTTAATTATAAATATAAATATAACATACAATATATAAATTATTTGAATCCAAAATTAGTACAGTTAATAAATGGGAAATGATTCTAAACCTATTCGGACATATTATTTTCCTGAACTGCTGACAAATAAAATAATGATAATGCATAATCAACTAAGGTTTATAATTTTATATATTTTTTTCGAAAGATGTTAAACTACAATTTTTAGCCTTAGTCGGTAGATGTCTTTTAAGTACTAAAAAAATGGACACGGACAATAAAATTAAATAACGCTATTTATCCAGACCGGTCCTATTCTTAAAATATTACTTGTATATTCTAACTCAGTTCAACTAATCCTGTACCTAAATTATGTTATTTGGTCATAGTTCAACAACTTTTTAAGAACCCCAGATCAGACCAAACCAATTTTACACCATATTTTTTATGTCAATACCAAAAAAATAATCATTTTTTTAAATTTTAAATAACATGCCATTTTTAAATTATACGAGTCCAAAATTAGCACAATTAGTAGCTGAGAAATGAAATCTAAACCAATTCCGACAAATTATTTACCTGAACTGCTGACAAATAAAATAATAATGATAATACATACCAAACTAAGTAACCTAAGAGGCTGCCAAACCACCATTTTATTAATGAGTAAAATTCCATCAAACCGTTTCTCGTGACTGAAATACTAATAAATAAAATAAATAAGCTTAGCGTACTGTCTCAACAAGTTAAAACATTAATGTTCTTAATCTGGGACCTGAATTAATAAGACACTAATTTTCCTAACAGAGCAAAACCAAACTATATAAAAAATGTTTAATGTCCTTCTAGACTAACCCGAGCCAAGGAATTATTTTAATTGGTAATATTACATCTAGATAATTATCTTTTTCTATTTTAATGATAAACGGCAATATGTTAATTTTAGAAACCGATATATTTAATTGTAATTTTGAGTCATTTAAAAATAGCATACGTATGAGTAGACTAGACAAGGGTCACCAATTTTGTTTAATGTACATGTCGAACAGCCAATCCAAGAATTAAGATAAAGCTCAATAGTCAGAAAATAGGAGTGACGGTCGGAGGAGAACTTGTACAAAATACACCAAGAGGAACTAAATTACAGAATATTGAAAGGACAAATAGAAGGCAAGAGAGGCAGAAGATAAACAAGAAAATTATTAAAGATGCCGAACTAAGAACCTACAGAAAACTGGACAGACTGGCCAATTATAGAGAACAGCGAAGGAAGTATGAAAAAATGATATAAACCAAACCTTTGTTGAATACTAAAGACAAAGAATTACTTGTATGCATTTCCGTCGATTTTTTTATTGCTTCTTCAATTGCTTATAATTTTCTTCTATTTCAAATACAGACTTCAAAATTGAAGTAGGTGAGACCGATGATTATTACTACAAATTTCAAATATAGACTTGTAGTAATAGTCGTCAGCCTCACCTACTTAAAATTTAATTCTTGACTCGTTTTTGGACAACTAGAATTTAGCTCTGTGAAAGAAGACGTAATAAATGACGCCAATGTAAAATGAACATACTGCTTAACACTTATTTTTTTACTCATGAATAACTCAAGAAATATTGATGTACAACAAAGTAACATATACAGGCAAATAGAGCCTAGTAACAATACCGAAAAAGATAAAATATTATAACACCAAAATAAAGATATTAGTTGGCAAAGCCTGTAGTTTAAAAAAACATATATTTACATAGTCCTTAAATACTTAATATGTAATACACTTTAAAAAAAATATGTTTTGAGATTAAAAAGCGACTTACTTGAATTCGTTTTCCACATCTGTTGTAATTGAACGTTTATCAGTCATAGGAATACCATTGTGTGATGTTGTAATATGATGTTTGAATTGCTTTTCGGATGTAAACGATTCTAAACACAAATCGTATTTTTCGTCTGCCAAGTTGTTTGTTACTTGCATGTTTATAGGCGTCGTTTCTTCAACTTGTAACAACGATGCAGGGCATTTATCTTCAATGTCATTAATTCATGTTTAACATTAATCCCGTTGATCATCTCATTATCTCTATGAGTAAAAAGAACAATTTTTTTTTTATAAATTAGTAAAGGTAACTTCTGTTTGGAATGTAGTTATGGGAAATTATGACAATTTAAATTAATAAAAACTGTCGTTAAAAAATGTGTAATTATTGAAAATTTTTCTCACCCGAGTCTTTTACCGGCAGCTTTTCTTTGGGGACTTTTTCGGTCTGAAGAGATCATATTTACAATGCGATGGATAATTAAATCTTTTGGAAATTGACCACTTTTCGACACGAGTTGCAATCGAACGGCTGTATTTTGTTCAATCCGTACTTATCACCGACTTGAAATTCCAATTTTTATCCATTGACGTTTCCCGTGGACAGTTTGACACTTGTAAAATAGTTTTATTCTGTGACAATATGACAATTAAATCATCAGAGGTTTACAATGTGTTTCTGGCGTTTGTTGACAATAGTAAAACGTGGTGTGTAGCGTAAACAGTAAACAGTAAACAGTAAACACTAAAAGAAATGGACTGATAGTAGAGCTTATAGAGAGGGTATACGAGGGTCAATACCGATTGGATACATTTTGTTTGCGCTTCAGTATTTACCGTTACCGCGTTCTACCTCCAGCCGACCATAATGGACCGCGGTCACCGCTGTTATCACAAATTGTTGTTATCTATTCTGTGTTGGTGCACTCTGTACAATTGTGTGTATCATTATTCATTCATCACAAAACACACAGTATACCTAATATTATGTTTATAATAAGGCAGTGAAAACAGACACCGTGGTTTTCTTTAAAAATTCTTGGTCATTGTTTAAATAATATTATAAAAAAATATTCCTGATCAGCGCTGTGCCGTGTGGTCTGTAAATCTGAGGGCCTCGAAGTAGCCGTGTAAGTAACGTAAGTACCGATATTAACATTATAGTCGATTACAATTTACACCCGATTTATTTATTTTAATAATAAACTACAGTTTACGGTAATCTAGAATAAAAAAAACTAATGGTTATGTATAATAAAATAATATTTAAAACACAACCATAAAATAATACTTATCTAGGTATATTATGTAAATAATCGTGTACATATTTTGGTAACAATGTTGTCATCTAACGACACAGACTCGGACTGTCCAGGTTAGTGTCGTAATTTTATTCCCATGTTTTGCTCGATTGCATCTAATTTACTGAATCGATTGAAATCATTGTGATAAACGTTCATTGGTAATTCAAATACTGATAATATAATAAAGACCATACCGCCAAACAAATTTCTCTTTATCCGTCTCTATCTTCCGCTGCTATAAGTGGCCATGTTTCTGAGGCATATAGTACTATTGGTCATACCAGGGTCGTGTACATCTGTATCTTAAGGTTTGTTGATATGGCTTGATTTTGCCTTTTTGTATTCTGGCACTAATTTCCATTTTCAGGTCATTGTCTTGTGTTAGTAGGTACTTAAAATGTGTAACTCTCTTAAATATATGCCCCTCAACATCCATAAATTGTCCTCGCTGATATTCTCTGCCCTGGCCACTTATCATCATGTACTTCGTATTTTCATCGTTTATATCCAGTCCTACCTTCCCTGCCGTCGTCATGAGTTTCCTGCACACTCGTTTTGCCACTTCTTCATTTTCTCCTAATAATAATTTGTAATTCAAATACAATATTTGATAACTAGTGCGACCAACAGTTAGGGTATTCCAACTCGAGATATTCATTAAAAGTGAGCCTATCTTGTGATTTTTAAAAAATTCATATTATTATGAAAACCATCCATAAAAAAATTTGTTTTAATTTATAACTTGAGATTGGCATGCCAATTTACATCAGAAATGATTAGTCGCACCTGCTGCGCTGTTTTTTTTTTATCATATTGTAGACCATTGTTGCCATTTTTCTGTTACTTTTATTTACATATAGTGTAATTAATAAAATATTATTGCTATACTAACCACATTGTTCTTTAGATTCTTTAGCTTTACCAATTAGCCAATTTCTTAGTTTCGTATATTACAAAGAGTAGTATAACGATAATCACGGCGATATCAAAAGTCAGTGTAACCATTATTTATAATAAAACGGTTATGGCTAATAATAATATATTGGGGATAGATTGTTTTATAATTCATCTTTGATCAATTTTTAGTTTAAATAATGCTGAGTGAACGAATTATTGTCATATATTTTTTAATATAACCAATCTATTGAATGTCTCATTTTTTATTAATTACATTGAAGAATATAAAGCTAGTTGATTTGATGACAAAAGATCAGCGATATTTACTTATTTATTAATGTAAAATTGTAACTATTATTAAGTAGTTATTATTCATGTGTTTTCATTTATACTTTCTATCTAAACAAGTATAATCTACATATGTTTGCAAACATTTGTTTTTAATTTTATATAATTATTTAGAGGTAAATGAAATATATTTGTACTTTTTGGTAAAGCAAAATGGTATTTATATTATAAAGGAAATGATTAAGGCTATGTTTGTAATACTTATTTGTGTTAGCTAATCTAGTACATAATTTTAAAAAGAATATGCATAATTTTTACTGACTATAGCTTGTAATGGCTTGCTGGAATTAGCCAAGTCTTACGACATAACCGATTTCTCCTTGAATGTTAATAACATTTAATGTACAACCTAAATGGGTTTTTTCTCTACTTTGTACGTAACCAAAAGGTTAACAACATCATAAATTGTAAATCGTAAAATTCAATTTATTCATACAACTATAAGAAATCGTATACTTTGTACAACTAGAGATTGTGAAAACACGCAAATAAACCCATTAAATATTGTATAAATTATCTATCCGACAATGTTCCGCGATTAACAGTGGACAGCTTGGCAATTCACCAACGACCCGGACTCGAGGATTAGCGGTTGCACAACTGGAAAAAGGTCACCAATGCGGGGATGCCAATGACTCCTTCCATTCCACCCGGATGGCAATTTTGCGTAAATACCAGCCGCTTCGCCACAGCAAGTCAGAAGTGTTCTGGCTGTGTATTATTCAAGATACCTGCAACAAGACACTCGTTTTTACTGTTTGTGTACTGAATTTATGCTTGTGAAAATACATAGCTTACCATATCTTTGTTATTGAAAATATTCTTTTAATTTAAAACATCCAAATTCCATCTTCAACCTTTGTGTTTTAAGTCTTCAAAGGCCACAGACTTAACAAGCTATACAAACCTAAAATTGTAATCATGGTCCGCTATTACTGGATGACCATAGAATTGCATCAATATGTGATTTTCTAGTAAAGCATATTATATCTTTGTTGGATCTATTAGGTAAAAAATTTAGCCTGCACTATAGTTTCATTTATATGTGTTTAAATTTAAGTTATAGTCTTTTTTTAATATTAAATTTAAGTTGTTATCCTAATTTTATAAATACTCTTTGTTTTTAGAGTTTAAATAATAAGAAACTAGTTAAAAATCAGAATTGGAATGGAAAATTATAACTACAGGACCACGTTTTAAATAGATGAAGAAAATGAGGACACAAATGAGCAATTCCATCTTCAACCTTTGTGTTTTAAGTCTTCAAAGGCCACAGACTTAACACTGGCGCAGCATCGGTACGATTGTCAAAGGCGGGACTGATCTTTCCAGCATCACACCGAAGAACAATTGAAGAGTTCCAGCACTTCTTGATCTTCAACGCTCTTTGACGACCAGACGACTCAATATGAACGCTTTATTGTGAGTTAATCTATACGATCCACGATTCTGCTAAGCCACTCAATGAGGATGCATATAAGTAAAATATATATATTTTTTTTAATTAAAATATTTTAAATTAATTTTATTAAGAAATTATATTGTTGTACCGGTATAGTCTGGTCTAAAATGTTTAAACAGGGACTAGTTGGACGTTGGTCACTTTTCCCGAACACCAATAGTTAAAAAAAAATTGTATTAATGTAACGTCTTAATTAATTAACGATAACATCCAAATATTGGAACCACAAATAATTGTATTATTAATAATGAAGCTAAACGTTTACTTGTATAAGCATTAAACACGTTTTCATAGGAAAAAAAGAGAATGTTGTTTTGTATTATTTAATTTTGAATAACATTTTTTTTTAATATTTTGACTGACCTTATAACTAATTTCAAGATACATGTATCTTTGTGAGTCAATATAATAGCACCTTATACTTGTGCGATTCGATTATTCTAACGTTCAGACGTTAAGGGAGTGAAGGTTTCGGTCGTAAGAAAACTTTGGTATTCTTATTTTATAAACAAATTATACCCATCAATGCCCATCCCTGTCAAACATCTCATTTATCAGCCACCTTGAACTAGGCAATCGTTTAAATGAGCGTTGTCTACAGTGGGTGGCTGTTAGGCGGTCTTGTAGTTGCTTAATTATATTAAGGAATGTCTACGAGATAGAATACTATGATAAGAGTGATTGCTTGTAGCAAGTATTTTCTAATCTTTCTATTAGCGCTTTAATATATATTTGTTGTTTTTAGTGTCAGTGAAACATGCAACGAAACAGTAGTCCAAGTCGAAGTAGACACTGTGAATGGATATACGTTTGAGTCAGTGATAGAATACCAAAAAAATGGGCCTTTGGATGTGCAAACGATGGACTACGGTCTGGACGGTATACAGCAATTTGTCTGCGAAATATGTAGCAAGGCCTTTACAACTAAAACGAAAGTGGCTAAACACATAACTCAATTACATAGTACAACAACCCAGAAAAGAACCGCAAAGAATGTTGCCAAAAATAATTATGTGTCATTTTCTCGAAAACGAAACGTCACCCAACACAAACGCGTGCACACTGGGGAAAAGCCCTCTAAATGTGACATGTGTTTAAAGTCATTTTCTGTAGAATTCAGCCTCACATCACACAAACGAGTGCACACCGGGGAAAAGCCCTACACATGTGACGTTTGCTCAAAGACTTCCCTAAAAATCCATTCTCACAACACACAAACGAGTGCACACTGGTGAAAAGCCCTATAAATGTGACATGTGTTCAAAGTCATTTTCTTACAAATCCAACTTCAGGAAACACGTACTCGTACATAGTGATGGCTAATGTGTGTTTTAATATTTTCTTATAAACCTGAACTATTCTAACCTACACCGAGGAGAAGTGCAGTCCATAATTTATATTATTTGTTTTCCCATTTGGCTTGTTCATTATTAATTTGATAATATTTGGAACTTAATAGGGTACGCGTTATTGATTTTAACCACTAGATTTTTATGTTAAACAAAATAATATTAAGCTTATTTACCCCACTTTACGTTATTAATTGTTTGACTATTTTTTTTTATTTCAATAACGAATGTGTCATTATTATTACTTTTATTTAATCATTTTATATATATATCTATATATTATATAGCATTTATTTGGAAATTATATTTATAATAAAACTTGTCTTTGCTTAATTTATGTTACTTAATTTATTAAATTTAACTTATTGTGTATATATTAGTATAATTATTGTAAGCACACCGACAAAAAATGGATTTTTATGTAATTAGTTTTATTATCAATACATATTTTTATAATATATTATAATATATTTATATAATTTTTATTTTATTTTTTCTATAATTTGTGTAATAGTTAATTTTATTATGACGATTGTGAAGTCAGAAAAAAAGTTCCTATTAATTATTTATATATTTTCATAAACATTTATTTTAAAACTAATAATAAAATATATTGCTAAAGTAGTTTTGGTTTGCAGTTTTATGATTTAGTAATTTTATTTGTTTATGAAAAGAGTTGAGGAACTCGTTTGTTTATGAAAAGGGCGAAATTTGTTCAATCAAAACATTGGTTAAAAAATAAATTAGAATAATTTGTATTCAAAAATGTAAATAAGTATAGTGCATAAGAATTAGTAATATTTTATTTTCAAGTAAAACCGTTTGTGAAAAACAGTTATTTTTAAAGTTAAACTTTTTGGACTAAACATCTTTTATAATCAATAATCGATTCATGAGTATAGTAAGTATTCTCTTTATTATTAAAATACGAAACTTGTAATATTGTAATTTATTATGTATGTTTAACAGGCATTATGATATAATGTTAAATACCTACACTGTATTTTACTTATGACTGTAAACACACTCTCAGCTATACTAAGAGTTAACATAATTTTACTCGTTCAGCTACGAGGCAGTGCTGAAATGGTATTGTTTTATTATGATTTCTATATTAGCTTATGTAATAACCAAGGTAAGGTAGACCGTTAGTGTTAACCAAATAAGCCAGGTATTTGGAATATGAAACAAAACAGTGGGTGTGTATTATAAATGAGATATTTAAAATGTGTGCTTAGGGGTTTAAGACATTTGTTTGGATAATTTAACTATAGGTTAAGTGCGTGAATTTTAATTAGGTATTAAGGTGTATCGAATGATGAAATATACATTTTTAACAACGAGGACTAATGTTTTTTCAGAAAAATTATAATAAGCTAACTAAGCATCTATTAAACAATTACGAAGCAAACCTTGAGTCAACATTTCTTTAGACATAATGGAACTTACATAATAGTACTTGCTCTGAAGTCGACATTTGGAATTTAACTAATATAACGCCTAATAATAATATTAATATCTCAACTTGTCAATTGGCTTGGGACAATATGGAAAATTTAGCAGAACAGGTAAAACAAAGATAAACGAAATATTAACAGCTTATTTAAGAAGTAATTGTTACACGGAAAAATCTAAACTGGACCTATTATCATTTTTATTCGATAAAGCATTTACCAAATTTAATTTTTCAGATATTAGATAGGTAACCACTTAATTTCTAAGTATTATAAGTTAATTAATCAATTGAATGTATTAGATGCAATTCAAATAAGAACAAGTTGAAATTATAAAAGTACAACAAATTTTATATGATCTAGTACATGAACAAACAGAATTAAATAAAACATTCTTACAAAATTTAAAGCTAATAAATTAACAGAAGAAATTCAAAATTTCTTAGGAACAAAAATATACGAGGACCAATTCTTTTTACAAATAAATATTTCACTTTAACAATTAATTATGCTAAATTAGGACATTTTAATTCAAATAAATTACTATCAAAAGTTTTAATAGAAAAATTTAATGAACTTAAACTTTCTCTTTCTAATAGAACAGCGTTCCAGTTGATTAAACATAAGAAGGTACACTATAAACAACAGTGTGATGGAAATATTAAAAAAAAACCTACATGTTATCAGCTGTTAAACCCTTCATACATATGTAATTTCCCCATTTTTTGTATTTTCTTAATACAAAGTAGGTTGACTACTAAAAAAAAATGGCTATTTTTTAAAAGGATAAGGTGAAAAGTAAGTTACTTCTAGCTAAGTTTTAAAATGCTAATAACTAAAGAATATTTTTTAAAAAAAGATCCATGCTAAAAGAGTAACATTTAAGTTACTCCTATGTTAGTTTCCATTGAAACTAATAAATACAATAAAAACATTGGCACGAAAATAGTATAATTCAACATTGAAATAATATATAATAATTAATATTATGGTAGTAATTAAAATGAAAAGTACATAAAAAATAATTACATAACATGTTTACATACAGTTAATCATTCAACACGATACTAATTGCAACATTTATAAGTAGGCAATGCCATTATAAATTGAAATATTACCTTATTATTACTGGTTAAAAAAAAATTATATTGCTGATTTAACAGCTAACTACAATTTACCTAATTCAAATTAATTAATTTAATTAAACAATTTTTTCATTCTCAAGTTTTAAAAATGTTCTTTAAATGGTTATAATTAAATTTTGGTGATCACCTTATAGCAATAACAACCAATTTTCACAGTAAAAATAATAAATTAGTATTATCACCAAGTATAAATAGCAAGTTAATATAATATGATACAGTGTTGTTCCCGATTGTTATGGGTTGCCTCTCATATAATGAAGTATATACAATGTATTCATATATAATAATAGTAAAATTATAATAAAATTTGTTATAAAAAATAAAAATAGTAACTATTCATACAGACAATCACAAAATTAATTGTAATTGCCACATTTGAGTAGGCCATTTGACTATAAATTAGGTGTATGACCTCGTATGACAATTCCAAAAAAAAAAAAGTATACAATTTATAAAAATGTCCGAGTGATTAAACAATTTGAGTTTGGAAAAATCTTTAAGCACATGGCTATGGTCTTTTGTCAGCGAGCAAGCGTCGTTATGGTGTGCGTGTGTTTGTGGGCTGCGAGGTGATGTTTAAGAGAAAAAGGCTCTTTGCACACTTCACATTTGAAGAGCTTTTAACCAGTGTGCACGCGTCCATGTCTTATAAGGTTTCCTTTCAAAGAGAAAGTCATTTTGCACACATCACATTTGTAGGGCTTCTCGCCGGTGTGCACGCGTTCGTGTATCGTAAGTGTTCCTTTATAATAAAAAGTCTTTTGACATACATCACATTTGAATGGCTTCACCCCAGTGTGCACTCGTTCATGTATTATAAGGCTAATTTTATGAGAAAAAGTATTTTTGCACAGGCTACATTTGTAGGGCTTCTCACCAGTGTGCACACGTTCATGTATCGTAAGGTCAGATTTTTGAAAAAAAGCCTTGTTGCAAACATCACATTTGAATGGCTTCTTACCAGTGTGCAAGCGTTCATGTAGTTCGAGGTTACCTTTTTGAGAAAAAGTTTTTTTGCAAACATTACATCTGTAGGGCTTCTCGCCAGTGTGCACACGTTCATGTTGTATAAGGATACGTTTTCGAGAAAAAGTATTTTGGCAAACATCACATTTGTAGGGCTTCTCGCCAGTGTGCATGCGTTTATGTAGTGTAAGGCTACTATTTTGAGAAAAGGCCATTTTGCACAGGTCACATTCGTAGGGCTTTTCACCAGTGTGTACGCGTTTATGTATTCTAAGATCCGTTTTTCCAGTAAAAACCTTTTCGCACACTTCACATTTGTAGGGCTTGGGGGGCTTCTCACCAGTGTGCACGCGTTTATGATTTGTGAGAGTGGATTTATTAGAAAATGATTTAGAGCATACATCACACTTATAGGGCTTTTCCCCAGTGTGTACGCGTTTATGTCGTGCATGGTAACTTTTATCAGAAAACTTTTTATTGCACATGTTGCATTCGTAGGGCTTCTCGCCCGTGTGTACACGTTTATGTAGTTTAAGGAGATCCATGCGAGAAAATGCCTTTATACAAACAACACATTTGTAAGGCTTATCATTGGTGTGCGTGCGTTTATGTCGAGTCACAAGAGATTTTTGAGAAAATGTCTTTTCGCACACATCACATTTGAATGGCCTTTCACCGGTGTGCGTGCGTTTATGTCGTGCAATGTAGCTTTTATCAGAAAACGTTTTATTGCACATGTTGCATTCGTAGGGCTTTTCGCCGGTGTGTACGCGTTCATGAAGTAAACAATGACCTCTTTGAGAAAATGTCTTATTGCAAACATTACATTTGTAGGGCTTTTCTCCGGTGTGCACGCGTTCGTGTATCGTAAGTGTTCTTTTAATAGAAAAAGTCTTTTGACACACATCACATTTGAATGGCTTCTCCCCAGTGTGCACGCGTATATGTAATATAAGGTTATTTCTTATAGAGAAAGTCTTTAGGCAAACAACACATTTGTAGGGCTTCTCGCCAGTGTGCACACGATGCTGTTTCGTAAGGTTTCTTTTAGGTAGTGTATGATTGCGAAATTTAGATTTTCGGGAAGAGTTTTTGTTTGTCGATCGTTGGTGGACTTGTATTATATGTAATGTTATTTGCCCTTTAGTAATGAACGACATTGGACACAAATCACAATGGAACGATCGCCGTTTTTTGGATTTTTTACTGATTTTCTTCGAAACAATTTTATTGCTAAAATAAAAAAGTTATGTTATAAAATAGCTAATGTTTAAAAAGCATTTCGTTAACCCAGGTAAAATAGAACATTTTAGGTGTAACATAATTTATTATCTGTAAACATTTTTTTTAAACATTTACCTGAACAATATTAGTTTTATAATAAACTGCTACGGAAAAATGAAATAACTTAAAAAATATATTGTTAAAAGTCAAGTGCATGTTCCATTTCACTCTGGTTGGCGCTTGTAAAGCGAATTTACATTACCTAGGTGTATTTCTGACGACACGTCTTTTAGTAGATTTCTGGTTTTTGTGTGATTCATTAATATGATTGGCCACATTCTTTTTAGAAGTAAACGATTCTTGGCAGAGGTCGCAAATAAATGTCCGAATTTTATCCAAATGGTAGTTCGAATTCTGATTATCCAAAAAACCATGTTTTTCATACTCTATTACAGACTCAAAACAATTTCCTTGCACTATATCTGCTTCCGCTTTCACGATCGTTTCTCTTATACTAAAAACAAAAATAATATTTTTTAAGATGATTTCGACACATTGACACGGTTCTGTTTAAGTGTGGATTAAATCAGAGAGGTCACTTAAGGTAATAAAACATTTTTTAATGGCGGCCCCGCCATTTTATTTATCGTAAAATTATATCAATATTTAACTAATGTATAGAAGAAATAACTACTCTCCAATATATATATATATATTAATTAAAGGAATCATGGTCGTCCCGTTTTTTAGATATAAGCATAAAAGTAGTGTAAAATTTTGAGATGCTGGTATGTGGTACTATCACCCAATTATTGCACCTATACATTTTTTAAGCTGTAGTAGTAACCATGAGGGGGTGGACAAATTATGGTTATTCTGTATTTTGTAAATGAAAATACCAAAACTTAATCAGCTTCTCATCAAAGCTCAAAACACTACAATGATTTATTGTTATATCACATATAGACACAAGAAAAAATTGTATTTAGAAAATAAAGTCCTTGGCGGGTATGAAACTTAAAATTTGTTTAGCTTTTTGATGTTTTTTTTTAAGATTTCAGAAAAGTGTCATTCAATTATATTGTATTACCAATTTTAAGTTTTCTAGTGTAAATCCTCAGCTAAAATTATATATAATTTTTTTATTACATAAAAAAAATGTATTGAACGTTTTAATGGGAACTCGAGTATTTCATTGAAACAGACAAAAAGAAATGTTATGCAGTTTTTACAATAAAGTATAAAATTGTAGCTAAAACACGAATAAAGAATGATTACTTATTATTTAGTTTAATCTGATTCATTAGTTATTTTTTTTTAACCGAATGTGTGACTTTGTTATTTATAAAATAAAATAAAAACCAAAATTATCTAGTTCATTAGAGTTAAATAAAAATTATACTTTAGAGATACTGAAAAATATGAACATTATAAGCGTCGTTTTAATTAATAATATACTATTTAAAGAATAACATTACTTGTAAGTATTGCCGTCAAATGTTTCTTGAAGTCCGTTCTCTGTTGTTGAGAAAATATTATACGATACCATGTCATCGTCGTAGTAATCATCCGGTTTGTGTATTTCAATTTTAATTCCCTTTTTGTTGACCCTAAAAAACCAAAAATATTTTTAAAATGCATATTATTAACTTAAAACAGATACTAAAACTGCGTGAATTTAATTTATAAGTTTTCTGTTTAAAATAAACATAACACAGAGATAGTCAATTCACTAGACGTATTTATGTTGAAATTTGCATTTTTTATCAGTACAAAATGTTCAAGTTTTCAAAAATAGTTTGATAGTATTTAATACTACCAAATAATAACTAAACCTTAAAAAGTGTTGTATTTAAAATTAGAAAATTCTTGTACAAATATAATGTGTTTGCTTAAATACAGCTATAGAATACCTAATAATATTTGCATTTAGGTACCCTATTATATTTTAATGTTAGTTCTCAACTTTGATTCTTAGGAACAAAATGTATTTACATATTAAAATATATAATAGGTAATATTAATTAGGTATAGCACTACAGGAAAAAAGTTTTAAAAAAAAACCAATCGCTTTACCAAAGAATATACGGAATACCATAAATCAGCTTAAACACATTATTTCGTAATTTTTAGGAAAAAAGTAATTTCTTATATTTAAAATTACACATTACTTGTATGTATTGCTGTCAATTGTTGTTTGAGAATCAGTCTGGGTATTTACACCAATTTCTGCCATTTCATTGAAAGTCGATTTTGTTTTTTCTTCATCGGCTTTGGGACGGTTCATTTTAAGCTGGTTTTGTTGCAATACAATCGTCTGTTCCGATAATAATTCATTCTAGACCCGCTTCTCACTTCATTAACTATAATTTTGTCAATTTTAGAACAACAAATATTAAACATACAATTTAATATACAATATTAAAAACTATAAAAAGGCGTTGAATACGAGAAATTGTAATTTAATTATTATAATACCAATGTGGAACAACATTAACTAAATATTGACATAATGTCAAATAAACCAGAAAATAACAAGGTACAATGATTATTTAGAATTCAGACAAACAATAATATATGTCATTTGATTAGCAATCTTGGCCCACTATCACAGAAATATTTTATAGATTACATTCTGTTCATTTTAGCTGTTAATGTTCGGACTGTGATAGAATCCTGGTTCAAAAAATATAAAATTAAGCGAAAGAAATTTCAACTTGATTGGTAAAAACGTACATAGAAAATTCAAACACCTATCCACGTTAAATTCAAAGTTAACAAAATAATGACTAGTTGGTCCCATACCGTGTTTCATTACAAAGAAATTTGTCTCTATGGCCGCGACAGTAGTTGTCTCGTTACAAGCTTAAATTAATTTATGTGTACTAATAAGTATAACAGCTGTAGGTTACTTAAGAATTTAATCACATAGAGAAAAACGATAAAAGTAATGATTATGTTACTCGATACTTACACAGCTATAAAACCACATGGCTGGTTATTGATCGGCTTGAAAGACACTTGAAACAACTAACAAATGCAAAAACACACGTTTAGCATAATATTTGTTCTGTTATATTGTAAAAACAAAACTATTTATTATTTAAATTTCAAATAAACAGGTTCACCTCGTGCCAGACATCATTTCTATTACAAACAAAGGGACGCTACAGCTATGAAACATTTGATAAGATTATAACGTGCAACAGGTGATAACAAGTGGCGGTTGAGTTGGTCGGTTGGAGGTAGAACGCAGTGTAGGTAAATATTAAAGGATTAAATTTATTTTCCCACGTTAACCTAAGCGTATTATAATTCGAAAAAAAATAGCGAATATGCGTTTTTAAGATATTTAGGTTTGATGCGAGCAACTGTTCTATAGCAACTATAGAACCTTATCAAAGTAGAAACAGAATATATGAACAGTCTAAAAAACAATTTGAGAATAAAATCAAAACTGACTAGTATAAAATACATTTTTATTATTTCTACGACTACCTTGAACAACATTTAAAGATGAAAAATTGATCATACTACAACTCAATGTGTTTATGAGTCAATATTTTGACATACAAATGATTTTTGTTTAATCAACCCATTTTGGTTTGCTAAAATAAAATTATTTAAACCATTTTTATTTAAAAAGGTATATGCTATACTTTTGACAAATAATATTTTTACTGATTCTGACTTAAGTTTTTTCATTTTCATTTTTCAAGTTAATATCCTAACAAAAATGAGGTAGGTAGTGTCTATAACATTTTTGGTACCTAAAACTATTGAACGGCTTTAGCAAATATTTTTGTTTAAATTTATAGTGTTTTGATATTTAAAATTTGTTTTTTATGTAGTGTTTTTTTTTAAGTTTCAATTATAAATAATGAGCATCAATTTGGTTTTAGTTATAACTTTTTGTCGAAGGTAAAGTTATACATATACAAAATATACTTTCCACTTTATTTTCAAACGTTATTAATTTTTAAACAATTTTCACTCTATAACCCTTACAAGTCTATGAAATGAAATTAAAAAGAAATTATCACATAGTATTTGCATATATTTTTAAAACTTATACAAAATCAATAACATAAATATTAATGACACTTATAATGGTCATCTTCCTTGTAACGGTCGACAAAAATAGTATAATGTGGATTCAAACAAATGTATGCATCCAGCGAATGAGGATCTTGGTCTAATTTGTCTTTCGGTCTGCTCCCCACAATTATGCTATTAGCTATAGGTACCCTAAAATAAAAGTAAGTCATTTAGAAGGATTGGTACAAAAAAAGATCTTGTCGCTAGTGAACGGTTGATGTTTATACATAAAAAATTATCGGTTGTCAGTTCCGGTTAGAATGTGTGGTAAGGACTAAGAAGAACGGTGACGGTTAAAAGTGTGAAGAGAATCAAAGTAATTTATTAAACATGAACGAACTAAGTGAAATAAAGGTAATTTACTTTAATTAAATAAAATCTAAATGATTTCCTAAAAAATTGGATTAGATTTTATATATATATATTTTTTTTTATATCTAATAAACCGCAAACATCTTTTATGCGCTCTTTCAGTTTGGTAATCTGATAAATAGAGAATGGGCACCATACTAATAATCCATATTCTAATACTGGGCGAACTATAGAACAGAATGTCGTTCGTTCGACAAAACGACTTTTAGAAACATTTTCATTTATTAGCTTTACACCATTACAAAAAACGATTTCAATCAACCTGACGAGTAGAACAATTCATTGTATTAGAAATTGCGCAATAGAGTTTCAAGTTATCTTTAAAAGATTTGCACTGACCAAATTTTAAACATGAACCGATATCCATTAAAAATACCAATAAAAACCAAGAAGATAACTGCCCACCTTGTGAGACAAGTGACAACTAATGGTATCAGAAACTTTAATGATATATTATGTCGCCATTAGGATGTTGTAAAACATATTATACACATTTTTTTTTCCAACTAAATTTCAAATCAGAAAACTTAAATTACACATATGGCACTTTTGAGCGTATGTTTGTCAATAATGTTTATTTCTAGATTTAGTAGCATATTCGTAAGTACAATAATTAATAAAAATGTTTCATTTTTTTCTAATATTTTATTTTGTTTATGAGCAAGATATAAGGAAAATTACATACAATATGAGAACAAGTATTAAATTCTGGTTTAAAAATATATTGTCCAAAATTTCTTAAAAATAAATAAAATTATTTCTTATACAATAATAGTCATTGTTCTTTTAAATTTAAAAACACCATCAAAGTATTTATAACGCAGTCAATGTCATCCTGACACATAAAATACCTTTTTAAATAATTATTTTATGTAAAATGTTATTTAAATTATGTCAAGTCGGCTACAATTTTTAGCCGATTTCAATAAAAGTATACAAATGCATATTTGACATTTTAAAATTCATATATCAATACATTTATAGTCACTAAAATCTGAGCTCTAACTATATGCATATTGTACACATTTTTTTACTGTACAAATTTTATATTTTTCTAATAAAAAAAAAAAATTATGTTTAGACCTTATGCCGAACATAAGCAAAATCTTAGTTTTAAGGCTAAACTTGATAAAAAAAAAAATTCCAAACAACTTACAACTATAAAAAGTATTTCACGATTTACGTAGAATAGGTATTATTTATTGAACTATGTATAAAAGTATGTTTATTTGTGTTAATTAAAAAAATTGATTTTGGGAAACTTCTTAAAAAAAAAATTAGTTAAAAAGGCACCAGCCTTTAAAAAAAATGATATTTTATCTACCGTATTAAAATAATAAATAACTATTAGAACAGAAAAATTTAAATATATCTTTTTTTTTATTTATTTAAAAAATTGTTAATTATTTCATGTTGTGTAAGGCTTCCTTTTTGAGAAACATTTCATTTATAGGGCTTCTCACCAGTGTGTACGCGTTTATGTTTCCTAAGGTTCGTTTTTTGAGAAAAAGTCTTTTGGCAAACATCACATATGTAGGGCTTCTCGCCAGTGTGTACGCGTTCATGTCTTGTAAGGTGTTCTTTTTGAGCAAAATTATTTTTGCAAACATTACATTTGTAGGGCTTCTCGCCAGTGTGTACACGTTCATGTTTCGTAAGTGTTCCTTTAACAGAAAATGTCTTTTCGCAAACATTACATTTGTAGGGCTTCTCGCCAGTGTGCACACGTTCATGTTTCGTAAGTGTTCCTTTAACAGAAAATGTCTTTTCGCAAACATTACATTTGTAGGGCTTCTCGCCAGTGTGCAAGCGTTTATGTGGTGAAAGGGTACTTTTATGAGAAAAAGGCATTTTGCACACGTCACATTTGTAGGGCTTCTCACCAGTGTGCACACGTTTATGTTTCGTAAGGCTAGATTTTTGTGAAAAATTCTTTTGGCAAACATCACATATGTAGGGCTTTTCACCGGTGTGCACTCGTTCATGTATTGTAAGGAGATCATTTCGAGAAAAAGTATTTTTGCAAACATTACATTTGTAGGGCTTCTCGCCGGTGTGCATTCGTTTGTGTTGTGTGAGGTTAGAACTTGTAGAAAAATGCTTAAGGCAGACGTCACATTCATAGGGTCGGCTGATGTTGGCGTATGACTTAGTAAACTCATTGCAACGAATAGTGTTGAGTTTTTGGGGAAAGTGTTTATCCGCTGAACATTGGTGGTATTTTAATATATGTAAAGTTATTTGGTTTTTTGTGTAGTACATTTTTTGACATAAATTACATTGGAAAACCCGCCGGTTTGTTATATCTTCATTGTTATACTTTGTTGCTGTTTGTTTGTTGTTATCTGTTTCAATCTTCGATTCGAAATAACAACCATCAGTATTTTTATTCACTTCATTTTTCGTACGATTGTCACTGCAACAAAACATAGTCGAACAATAAATTATAACGTTTTCAAAAAATTAATCCTTTTCACAATTTTACATTATTATTATAAATTCCTATTTGACCTAAGTAAATGTATTGAATGTACAAAAATGTATTAATGGACAAATCCGTTTCTAAGAAAACTCTTTAATTTTCATACATAGCTTATATTGTAATACAAATAACGGGAATGACGCCTATGAGCAAAGCTAACCATAGGAGTGCCACTGTGCGATGTTGTAATATGATGTTTCAATTGGTTTCGAGATGTAAATGACTGCAGACACAAGTCACATATTGCGACGACCACCGAGCCGTGTGTTGCTAGCATGCCCGAAGCACTAGTCTCTTGGACTTTTATCAAAGTTTTATAGCAATGTTTTTCCATTTTATTATTCTCTTGTCGAGTATTAGTTTCATAGATCATATTGTCATCTCTACGAGTAAAAAACAATAAACTTTATAGTTTTTTTTTATATTATATACAAATTAATTATATTTTACGTAATAATATTTTTAGTTAAGGAAAAAAATGTTTAAGTAAAATCTTGTTTTTATTCAATATTTATCAACATAAATATTGATATTAAATTTTAAAGTCACTAAATAGAAATTTCAAGTATGTTCAAATGTGACGTTAATTATGAAGACAAAAGAATAAATGTGGGCTAGTGCACGAGAATTAAATAAGCTATACAGTGCTCTCCGCCTCATGGCTCCATCACGGACTAGAAAAAGTTTATCTAAAAAGTGGCTCTATTTTAAAATGCTCTTAACGCGAGAAGTAAAAATTCAAACATGACTATCAAACAGTCATAATTTATATATTTCTCCACAGTATTTTAATCATATTATGTGTTAGTTGCTATTACATTGCTTAGTTAGAAAAATACTATTTTGGTATTTTGAAATTAAAAATCGACTTACTCGAAACCATTATCAAATTCTTTTTTAATTGGAGTATCATCGATCTTAGAAATACCATTGTGCGATGTTGTGATATGATGTTTGAACTGCTTTTCAGATGTAAACGATTCTAAACACAATTCGCATTTTTTGTCTGCCAAGATGTTTGTTACTTTATTGTCCTCAGATGTCGTTTCTTCAACTTGTATCAAAGATTCAAAGCAACAATCTTCCATTGCATCATATTTGTGTTTAACATTAACCTCATTGATCATCTCATTATCCCTACGAGTAAAAAACAGCAATTTTTTTTTAACTTTATTTTTTTTAGTTAAGTTAATTTCTATTTTTGCCCAAAAATATAATATTACCATTACAA